TTTTGTTTGGTTGTTGATACTAAATATACGAGAAAATTAATTTTTGAGTGTTCGTCAAACTGTGGTTCCAGCTCAGACCAAGTAGGGCACGAACCAAGTATGCGATGACGACAATAATGGTTTCCAGGAGGAAGTAAATGTGGAGGCAGTTTAGAAGCAATTTGGTGTAGTTTTTGGTTAACTAGGGTGATGGATTTTGTTTTTTTTTTTATTTTATTTTGATAGGAAAACAAGCTAAGGATAGGGGTGTCTGAGAAAAACCGAAAAACCGAATCGCAAAATGCGGTTAACCAAACCGATCGGTTCGGTTTCAGTTTGGGATTTTTGAAAAACCGAAGGACCGGTTCGGTTTTTGGTTAATCTACAAAAAAACCAATGGTTAACCAAACCGACCGGTATATATATTTTTATGTATATTTTATATATATATTTTTTTAATATATGTCATATTTTCTATGTATTATACATAAATATATATTCATTACATATATGAATATATACTTTATATTATACTTATAGTTATTTATTTATTTATAAATATATTATATATTATATATTTTTCAAATATTTATAATATATTATATATCATTTATTACTTATAATATAATATAATATAATATATATATTTGTATAATATATGTTATAAATATAAAAAACCAAAAACCGAAGAACTGAACCAGTCAAAAACCGAAACCGGCAGACCGATTAACCGGTGGTATCGGTTCGATTTCAGTTTGGAGAATTGGAAAAACCGGTACCACCGATTCGGTTTACAAAAAAGTGTCATGGTTCGGTTAACCGAACCGTGGACACCCCTAGCTAAGGAGATGAAATGAAAGAGAGAGACAAATGGATCAGACGACAGAGGGCCCCGACCAAAAGAGAAGAAGAGAAGCTTGAAATTAGCCAACCAAGCCATGAAGAAAGTCGTGGTGCCACCAAGATGGACGGAGTGGAGGCTTAGTGGGAGAAGAAGAAAGAGGCAGCAGATGGGGAGGATGGTCAACAACCTCAGCTTTCCTTTTGGGACATTTGAGGCTATAACATAACAAAAGCTTAAAGATGCTAAAACTGAGATTCATACCTTGATCAAGTTATTGATCTCCCCTAGGAATTGAATGGGGCGGGGCACCCCCTCCTCGTCCCTACCCTGTCCCCCCGGTGGCGGGGCATCCACTCCCTGTCGGGGATAGTTAATCTCCGAATTTTTCCCATTCTAAAGTAATTACTTAAAATTATTTATTTTGTGGACAATTTATACATAATATAGGAATTTGGGGGTATTTTAAGAATTGAATTATAATACTTTGGGGATACTTAAAAGATGGAATTATAGGATTTTAAGAATTTAGGGAAAACTTAGAAATATTTTAAATATCAATATTAAACCTAGAGATATTTTACTAATTTTACCTTCGGGTTCGGGACGACTTTGGGGAATTATATACAAAACCCGTCCCCGCCTTATCTCCAATTTGAGAAAAAAATATTTGTCATCTCTAACCTCCCCGCCCTCTCTCTCTCTCTGTTACAGGTTTTGATCTCCTCTGGGTTTCTGCCTATTTCTTCATTAGTTTTCTTTGCTTTTGAGATGGAGCTGATGCAAGGATGTTCAGTTTGGGGGTCGGAAACCTGGTTAATGGCATTCATGACCATTGGTTTCGGCATCAAAATGGTGTTCGACGAAAAGCATTTGGGGGTCGGAAACCTGGCCTTCAATTGAAATGGTGGGTGAGTCACGGTGGCCGCCGGGAGTTCAGTCCAATGTTGTTTCCAATGGTCAGGGAAGCATTGGTATTCAGCGGCATGTTAAGTTTGGTGTTGTGGTGGCCGTCACAGGGTGTTGATGAGTCGCGAGTTCTTCTTTTTGAGAAGTGATATCCCATCATTTCTGGCACCATCACATCAAACAAACACGGGTTTCAAAGAATCTAACCCGAATATTCTATATTTCTCATCCGCGTCACAGCAAGCAAACATAACAAAACTGTTGTGGCATTGTTGTGCCAAAAACCGGACCTTCACAAAAAATGATTTTGCTTATGTGACGGCCATTTTTGTTTTGACAAATACCTCCTAAAGCCAATTAAGGTCGAAACACAATAGCAGAGATTCCAGTAAAACCACTGTATTTGTTGCTTCTATTATAGGGAATAATGGTCAATTGTGATTGCATAGATTCTTTCTCCTAAAACGGACACGTCCTCAATTTCTTGTTAGTCCTCTCGTCTTGCCAAGCCTGACGTCTTGGACACGCATCAAATTCTTGATCTTGGTCTCAGGGCGACTAACAAATATATGTATGGTGTATTCTCTCTCAAATTACTACAAATCACCATCACTACTGTCTATTTTATCTTACAAAAGCAGCCCACTTAAGAAATGAGAGGGAAACTGAGATTATATTGAAACGGTTCTAATTCTAACACCAAATAATACTTCGTAATTAAGGAATCCCTACTTTCCTGCTGTTTCATCCCTCTTTCCTTTCCCTATTAACCGGAACCCAACAAAGATGAGAAGCACTCTGTCTGTCTGTGTCTCTGCATTAAATGCACACAGCTAATATTATTCATGGCTTTCTTCTCAGACTTCTTTGATTGCTTTCTCGATTCCGGCCGAGTTACCTGCGAAGGGGACGGTTGTAATGCCACCAAAACAAAATCATCCAAAGACAAGTCCACAGGGACGACGGCTCCAATTCCTCTGCCCTACTTCTTCCCTATTGGAACAACGCTTTCTCGCTTATAAACTATAGCAGGTCTATAATCTATATTCATCAGTTACAATTGAATTGGCCCTTTATTGTTATTTTTCTTATTTCATTTCTTTTATTTGTATGTCACCTCAAATTGAACCAAATTAGTTCACTTATTCACACTTCCTTTTATATATCTTTCTTCTTTCTTGTTCATTATTTAGGTTTCGGTTTGTAGTGAGAATCAGAATCGATTAGAATGGATTCTCATTCCATCCCAAAGGGGAAAATATAAGATTTTAACTCCACCCAATCAAACAGATGGAATCGAAATGGACGATTCCGGACCCCTTCCCACAAACCCAACGGACCCTTAATTTCCACACCGATGCCCATTGCCGCCTTTATCGGGCCGGGCCGGGCCGGAATGGGGATGTCCACAAAGGTTTGTCTGGCTCAGATTAGAAGTACGTGCTGCATGCAGTCAAACTGGGTTGCACGTGTTGTGTAGATTTGTTTGACCCGACCCATTTGATTGATGGTGGGTTGATGGTGATGGACAAATTTGTGCCTGTCTTTTCATTCTCTTAAAATTATGAAAGCAAATGACAATTTTGTCTAAACATGAGAAAGAATTAAACTGATGGAATATTGGAAAGGAAGAGTTGAAGAAAAGATGGATGAAGCTCTTGGATAGAATAATCATTGATTGGTCCGGTCCCACTGAACATCTCTGCGGAGAAGATCTATATGGGAATTACTGTTTCTCCGTTGTTTCATGTGAAAGACATGGATAGTGTAACAGCTAAAGTTGCTTAATGCCGTTGCAACAAAACTGACAACTTCTGCGACATGGGGATGTGGAAATTACTGTTTCTCGGTTCTTTTCATGTTTCAATATATAGAGAGCTTATTATAAGCCAAAGTTAAAAAAAGATGGATGTTGCCTACTTTGACTTGCTAGTTTCTTTGGAATTAGCAAAGTTTCCCAACAAATTTATGAATGATGAAAGCACTTATATTTATTGATACTTGTTTGGTAAGTAAACATAAAAAGCATAAGCATATTTCTAAACGTGACAGAAGCCCACATTTCTGCGACATGGAAAGATTCCCTGATCCTTCAGTTTTTTCAGCAAAGGATTCAACCAATAAAGCCGCTCTCGTGAATAAAATACATCAATTCCTCTCTTGGGAACTGGGAAGTGCTTCTGAAACTCAAGTACCAAACAATCAGCATCGATCAGATAGTTTTATCGACGGAGGTGGCCCTCTCCTTCTGTATTGCCATTGTAGGCTGTAGCAGATGCATTGGAAAGAAGGGCTACATATGATTATGAATGGCGCTACTCAAGTTTCCTTGGCATTCTCCTTCCATATTTTGGTTACTATAACTTACTAATACTAGAAGTGGAGGACATATACAAAAGTACTCAGACTTTCTATCTCAGATCAATTGCCTTCACTTTAAGGTTGTTACAGATTTATAACGCAGGAGGGAGAGAGAGAGAGAGAGAGAGAGAAGATGGCCTGACTTGACCAGAGAGAAAGTAACTGCTGCCCCAGTTTATCCTTCTGTATATCCGTGTTTGTTGTCGCTGCCTTCTAACTCAACCGCATCGACTCCCTACTGTCTGAGATAGAGTGAAGCTTTACAGGGATACAGCTATACAAGTCTTCATAAGAGGTTTACCAAAAACTAAAAAAACAGTATTTGCCGATACAGATAATATTTCGTATCAATCAAAATATCTAAAACAAAAGAAAAATGAACCGGACGTTAAAATTAATATTTTTAAGCATCAAGAAGAGTTATATTGGTTTCCCAAGCACATCGATGCCTTAATTCTTCCACCAATTAATTTCTACATTTCCCAGGTGAATCCTGGTAATTCACATTTTACATAAACTATGAAAATGTTTTTTTTTTTTTTTCATACCTTATTCAGTCACTTGAACCTCAGATTGTGTTAATAATGCATTTGGCATCCTAATCATTCCACCACTTTATCCATACATTTCATCTTAGAATTGCACTCTGAACATGGCGCATGAGTTGTTCAATGCTGCAATCAGTATACACATGGATGAAAATTTTTTATGCCAAAATTTTACATCATAACGTCTGCACATGAAAATCAACAGGCCTTGTCTTCAGCCGATTGCCATGGCCCAAATCATTTGAGATGTTGCCTTAAACGGTTAAATTAATGCTATCATGCATGCATACATCCATATATAAAACACCCATAACGTGAATTCACGTCTCTGCTAATGGCAAATGAAACATACCAGTACACAATTGAACAGCAAAGATGCGATGAGTAGAGAACCCTTCCATTTTAGAAATTTGAGTCACATTGTTGTACATACCAATAGTAGTAGATGCATATAAAAAGGAATGAAGCAAAGTCTAAACAGTTAATCCTCCTCTTTGTAATCAATGTACAAAACATCCCCAGTGGGCCTCTCCTGTATAATACCCGCTGATGAACTTATAAGACTGACTAATAATAACATATTCTTTTCCACTAGGCTACCCTGTGAACTTGGCCAAAGGTTTGTAAGTTGCCTGTTCATATATGTGTGAGATTATACATGTATGTCCCGCTGCAAGCCAAAATCCTCAGTCAAAAAGGGAAGAATTAGAAATCAACTTAGCCCAGATGAATCTGCTAAAAATATCCTTGGGTCTTGGATGTCCTGATCAAAGCACATTGCCTACTCAAAACTCTTTTTAACTCTTCAGATCCTTCTTTTCATGGGAAACTCTGGGCCTGAACAAAAAAAAATGCCTATAGGATCCAATTGAAGATGGAAAATGAAATGTATTCCATCCTTGACACTAATTTAATTGTGGATTTGTGGTAACTGGAATCCATTTAGATAAATTCAATCTGCGCCATTCTCTCATGTGGCAAAACTCTGATGAAGGAAGAGAATTCCTTCCTGGGAAAGCAGAATCCATCAGTGCCTGCTAACAATACAATACAATAGGAATCAAGTCCCGCCACTGCACCTATCTCAGTTCTCATTTGTGTTCTTCTCGGATACCCATTCATATTCAGAGTTGTAAAGCCAGGTCAGGTTGTTGGGAATCAACCATGATGCCTGAGGACTGCCTCACTGGAGACCCTGATGACTGAAAACTAATGTTCAAATCCGGAGGAAGCATTTCCTGTTTCTGCTTTGGTTGGCCATGTGGAACAAGACCTCGCCAAGGAGACTGTGCCTGAAACCTTGCTAAGTCAGTTGTTACTAGTTGAGGAAGAATTTGTCTATTATTTTGATACTGTTCTTCATTGGCCATACGGATGGATTGTGGAAGGAATGACTGCGAGGGAAACCTACTCTTCTCAGACTGCATTTGCAGCCCACCAGAAACAGGAGGTTCTTCACAAAATCGTGAAACGGGTTGAGGGAGCTCCCGTGCGGGGTTGTACAGAGAAGCAGCAGCAATCTGCATTTTGGGTGAGCCTAAACTGTCCGTTGGTTTAAAGTCTGCAGACCCAACGGACATCCATGACCGGGCAGCACTAGTTGCAGCAGTGCTTGAATCATCTCTTCTTGAGGATGAAACAGATGACATCGCTGGTGGACCATCAACCACAGGGCATATTGAAGATTTCTGCTGGCTTTGTGTCTTCTCAGATAACATCCTCATCAACTGAACTGGGTCACTAAGACCCTGTTCTTGATTTCCACGAGGAAAGTAAGTTGCTGCTCTGGCCATTTGGCTAGAAACATAATTAGAGGATGAACTGATTACTTTATTAATGTCAGAGCTGCTAGTTACAACCTTCCCATTGGGCAAACTTCCAGCAGCAGCCCCGTCAGATTCTGTCTTCTTAAAGGCTACAGATTGTATAAGATTCCTGTTCCTTGACAGCATCTCCAACAACCTTGAACTCGTCATTTCTGAACCATACTCAAACTGCGTTCTTGAAGCAACCTCAATGGGGCTCCCATTGACTGAGGTTGAGCAATTCAACTCAACTTGGGGCAGAACATTATTATCAGATTTGACAAAATTTGCAGTTAATGGATTCTGCTGCTGAGACACAGAATTGATGATGGATTTAGTTCCGACACCACCAAAAAACTTCCCATTTAAATTAGGCCTACTATGCACTATTGCAGAATCTGCGATCTTACTAGAAGCTGCTATGCCAGATGAGTTTGAAGATTTGAAACCCAATTTAGCCTCATCTTGTGCAACCTTTAACCCCTCGGTAACCCTGATATCTTTTCTCAATTCAGGTTTACAGTTCAGATTTGTACTGCAAGCCAGCTGTTTCATATTATTTTTTTCAAACATTAGAACAGGTGTTGGAAGTGGTTCATATTCTCCAACCCACCCACGGCCAAATTTAGATCCCACAGGCAAAGCCTTCTCAATTTTCTGAGAGGCAACTTTCCAAGCAACAGTTCCAAGAGTCGCAGCAAAACGTGCCAGGCTTCTTGCATAGGAATGGTCAGCATGAAATCCAACCTGATTCAAAATAAATAAATAAGGTTGATGAGTTGAGAAGCCAATTATGCAAGAGGAACTGAGGAAAAACAGTGATTAGATACATACAGCAACCAGCTGCTTGTTTTCACCATCAAAAGTTGCAAAGATTGAATCAGTCATGTCCACAGGTTGAATAGAAGTGTTGTAAGTTGCACGACGGTTCTCATCAAGCACAAAGGGCTTCCTCCCAAATTTAGATGGGAACCCCTTCCCTGAAACAAGAGAAAAATGGTGCAGTTAACAAAGGGACCATAAAATCTGTGATATAGATACACTCAGGTATAATTCAGAAATAACAGGAGAGCCATCTTAGCATCATTCATATCCCCATAAGGTAAGATTGTGCAATACTGCAATAGATGATAAGAATTGTCCATGTCCACTGTGCATTAGCAGAATTAGCTACTTTAACCCAAACCTGATGTTTTTTTATTCATTACTCGTCCAAGTCATAACAGCTTCTTTGTGTTTGGTCATAAGCGGGAAGGTTCCAACACAGAGAATACAATCTTAATATCTAGAATCTTACTTCCATCCTGAAGTATCTCAGTCATTCCATTTAGATGTTCAAATGAGATTTCAGAATTATAAAATGCTGGATAGTATGCACTTTACTGTACCTGAAACTTGCTCCTCTGCCTTCTCTGGTTTATTATCAGTCAGAGAGGAATTGCCATCTCCTGCCCCATCAACATTGTTAGGTCTATCAGCTTGCATCACATTTGACCAGGTATAGGCATCGCCTGTGGTGGCAAGAGTGGCACCAGAGGAGAAATCGGAACCAACAGGTTCCTGAGCATTCCTGCACAAGGACTTCTTTATTGGCTTCTTCACTGTAGAGTTTGATTTGATTTTCTGCTCTGACTTGAGCTCTGTATTGTTGCATTCAATATCGATCACTAACTTCTGGAATTTCTTTCTAGCCAATTCTTGTATGGATCGTGCCTTTTTTGAAAGAACAAGGTATTGGCATGAATGCACCAAACAAGATTAACCCAACTAAAAAGAAATAACAAAAATAAAAATCCTTACCTGTTTAAAGTATATGGTTTCTGGGGCATTGTACTGCATTGCATTTGTACAAACTAGGAAAACATCGCTCTGCATGTGAGACAATTGAATTTTAGAAACCTCTACACAATAAATCACAAGATAAACCAGCATCTTTTTCTCCTTGAATATTATTTCTTAAACCTAGAAGGAAGTAGCGACAAAATGCAGAGATTAGATTTTTTATCAGTAAAGAGAATATTACCTTTCACTGCTATGTTTACAGCATCATAACATTTTATTCAAACAACGTAGCACAGTATAATATAGTTTGCCAAGTTGCCTACTAATGCCAAGGACATCATATCTTGTTTCATAATGGGGGGGCTACATTAATTTATTCACTCTTTTATTCTATGCAATCTATGGAACTTTCATTGAGAAGAAAGAATGACATTACCCCCTCCTGCCATTATAACAGTTGACAATAGATTACAATCCATTGTCAACACAGGGTATATCTTCTATTTACACAGTCCATAAGAACTATTAGGCATGGGGATAAGAAATATCTTTTACCATTTTTTATCGATAATATGGACAAGAAATATATACTACATGCCAACAAAAAGAGGGTTTGATATCTGAGGATTATTAAGATTTGTGTGAGAGAAAATTCAGTTTAGATTGGAAGATATTGAATCCTCAGGGTACCAACTGAAGAATCCCCAAGCATGCATAAAGCATAAATTCTCGAAAATATTGTGGTAACTAGATACTTAGATAGTGAACAAGCTTCTACTACATATGCCTGCCTAACAAATATCAAGATAATAAATCTATTAGGTAGGCCCAAATCAAATAGTCTAGCAAGATATAGAGTACAACTAAATTTAAGGACAAATTCAAAAAAGTGAATAAAGACCCAGAAAGAAGGTAGATCCACTTGAGAAGGAATCAGCCTTCTTGATCTCACTTGTAACAGAAAGAAAAGGTTCAAATTTGAGCCAATTGGCTAGCCACCAAACTTTTAAGGAATCTTTGGTTGGGTTAGTAAGTTTAAACCATTGACAAGTATAGAAAAACAGGTAATATGGGTCAGTGTATTTCAGAGGTAATCTGGAGTGTGATACTTGCCTTAGGGCTGTCAACAAACTTCAAGAGTCTGAGATTCAACTTTGAATCCAATTATCTTGGATTGGGATGTTAGAAGTTGCACCCGATTAATAGTTGGATCAGATGTGAATTTAACCCCATTCAATCTGATTAAAATCCAAGTCCAATAAAAATTATTATTATTATTATACTGTGTGTGTGTAATTGTATAAAGTTTGTAAATGATAAATTTAATATTTCATATTTATATACATTTTTTATAATGTATAGGTTAAAAATAATTAGTTTTTTAACTTTCTTTTTTTGTCATTTTAAACTCAATAAGGCCTTGTTCATTTGGGGGTAAGTTTGGGTGGGAAGTTAGTCAATGGGAAAGTTGACCAACTTTCCCGTGTTCTTTTACTAGTGAAGTGTGGATCCCATGGAAACAAAACTTTCCCCTAGATAAATTTTTGGCAACTTATCTAGGAAACTTTACCCACTTGGGAGGTGGGTAAGTTACTTACCCATAGAGGGGGGAAATTGGCCAAACTGTGTAGGACTAAAATGTTCCTATCTAAACAGAAAAAAAGGATCCTTTAGGAAATTCGCTCACTTACCCATCTGGCAAAAGAACATGGTAAATGTACTTACCCGGGTAATATTTTCCCAGGTAAGTAACTTACCACCAAACAAACAGGGCCTAAGGTGGATGTGGATTAAATCCAAATCCAATCCGAAATCTGAAAGGTCGGACTAGATCAGACACGAATCCAAGGTTTTGATAATCGATTTGGATGCAGATTTATTTGGATCCAATCTGTTTACAGCCCTACTTGCCTTTACCAGTCCTCAGTTTTGTTGACAAAATAAAGTGAAGAATCAAGTATATAGCATCTAAAATGTACAGGTAATAAGTAATAACTGATAAGTTTCTTCTAGATCATTTTCTCCAGAATTCCCCACCCCCCAAAGGTGAAGAGAGATTAAAAGGCCTCAATCTCCATTGCGATCTCTGCTTTCCTATTCTCAGGAAAAGGCACAGACTAGAACATCACATCAAAAGCAGGGCTGTCAATGGACTCCAAAAGTCTGATACCCAATTCAACATCTGATCTGATAATGCCAGAGTTGGATGTTGGAAGGTGCATCTGATTAATAATCAGATCAGATGTGATTTAACCCCATTCAATCCGATTAAAATCTGATTCCAACTAAATATTGTTATTCTATATTATATGCAATATAATTATGTCTATATATGGGCATTATATACAATTATGTAAAGTTTATAACTAATACATTGAATATTTTATATTTATAAAAATTTTTTATATTTTATATTTAGGCACAATAAGTCTGACTAGGATTAAATCCAAATCCAACCCAATTCAACATATCGGATTTCGGATCAGATTGGGACTTGACATCTTGTAGATTGGATTGGATGCAAATGTAACCAGATCCAATTCGAATCCAACCTAATTAGAGCCCTAACAAAAGTTAGCAATTGAGCCTACTGAACCTTTTTTTTTTTTCTTTTTGTCACTTTTTTCATGCACTAAATTAGCTCCTTTGTTGTTATCAACTTAACCAGTAAATAAATTGAGTAAAATAGAGGTTGAAGAATAAACTTGACATACAAGTATATGGAAATCTAAATTCTAAAAGAAATAAAAGATTGCAAAAGGCATATTAGTTCAATTGGTTAAACATCACATTTACTAGTTTACAATATATTAGGTTACCCATTCAACATCAAATTCAGTTAGGATTCATCAAAACATAGCAACAAGCTAGGATAGATGAGGTACACTTGGGTTAGGAAAGATGCACCCCCACATAATGATCCTTGCCTGTTAGCCTAGGTGCACCTACACTGGGTTTACTGAATGGAAGCTACAATGGATGAGGAACCTCTAAAGGTGGAAATTGTAAATTAGAGAAGACACTGAGCATCTTCATATTCTGTCAGTAGATTTACAAAATTCTTCTTATAGTGCTTTTTAGACACTGAACATCTTCGTATTCTGTCAGTAGTTTTACAAGATTCTTCTTATAGCACTTTTTAGACCATAGTCATCCGTAGTAATATACTTTGCAGTGGTTTACTGGTTATATAAGGCCTTAATAAATTACTAAAACCTTTCCTTATAACCATGCATTCTCTTTGCATTAATTTTCAATTGATTGGGTGAGAAAGAGTATTTGAAGATATATGCAAATTAGGAGCTTAATGAAAGTCTAAACATCAAAATTTACAAGAGACTACAGAATAGTCATGATAAGAATCCAATGCAAAAGCCCAACAGGGAAGTATTTAAGATCATACAAGCAACATTTTATTGAGTTTCTCACTGCCAACTGGTAAAGATAACTCCTTGATAGTGCATCTCTTTTTTTTTATCAGCCTCCTTGATAGTTTATAGCACTCTTACAGGGCTTCAAGCTTAGCTCATGCATCAGGATAGAGCACCCTAATGATAGAAGGGGACCACCAGCCTGTCAGATGGTAATAGAGTGGGTATGGTTAGCTGGAGGAGGTCCATAGGCTCTTTGCCTTCCGTGAAGAGAAGCAGAGGCCTTAGATTCTCTTCTGAATTGCTCATTCAGGTGGGATACCTGATAGGCCAATACTCTAGCAGACTAGCTAGAGATGAGGTGGGCAGGATCTGGGGCATGGAGTAATGAAGTCAAGCTAAGAAGTGAAATGTATATCATATGATGTTGGTCAGCTATTTGCTGGTCTTATACATGCTGTTCCATTTGTTTCACAGTTGTTTTCTTACATGTTAGTAGATTATTCTAATAGAAGGGGTGTTTTATCACTTCTTCAATAAAATTATCTTGATCATGTACTCATGATAAGATCCAGCTAACCATCCTTGGTTTACAGCTTGGTATTCAATCATTGTCATGTCACACTGATAAAAATTGTGTGCCAGAATCTGAGAATGGTAAGCCAACCATAAGAAATACAGTGTGTGCACTTCAGAGAATAGCTAATAGATTTCCTTTTCATAAAAATATAACCATTATATTAGATTGAGGGAGGTAAAGCATTATAATAGATTTAACAGCAGAAAATGAAGAATGTTGGAACATAAGCCTATACAAGAAGGAAAATGCAAAACAGGAAAGAAACTGTAGTATATGTTAACTTATTCTGTGAAACTTGTAAAGGAAACAAGACAAATAACCTTATTCAGTGGCAGGAGTATGATGGAGAAGGAAACACTAAAAGAAAAAACAGCAACAGACCTTTAGCATTATAGCTGTGATTTAAGTTAAAGACGTGCATTCTTTGGATGACAGAATGCATGAAACAACAGAGCAAAGGCTACATTACAGATACTGGTAGCCATTACAAAGCCCTATATAACAATCTATACATCATAGTATAAACACGAGTCATTTCTCTTTTCTCTTCAATAACACGAAAATTTAAATGAACATCACAAACATCAAACTAGGGAACATACTTCAAATTGTTCAAAGTTAGAATATGCCCCGCTAGCCAGCTTCTTCCTTATGGTGCCAAAATCCATTGGATGCTCAATCACATCGTGATAGTCAGGAAGCTACAAGAGCAAGCACAATCACAAAATTCAGTTAAATGTCTGGTTGAACTGTTATAAAATGTAAATGGGGAATTCGTTTACAAAAAAAAAAGACAAACAAATTCTCAAAGTACCTCTTCTGGATCAACAGGCTCTGCATAAACACCATAGGTGTCTTTCCTGCCACATCCAACACGAGAGAAGCTCTAAGCTTAGAGTTAAAAAAATTTAAAAAAAAAAAAAAAAAACACATGGCGAAGAGAAAAAGAGTATTTGGTATATGTATATTTTCCCTTACTTCTGAAGTTTATCGAGAATCAACTCCAACAATTTCTTATCCGGCAATGGAGTGTCCAACGGGGAAGTAGACGGTGTGCCTGATCGGATGAAATAAAAGAAACTCAAAAATCAATCAAACTTAATAGTAAAAGAAAAATCAAGTAAAACCCATTAATTAGAAGGACCTGGAACAGAGCCGGTCCCTTTCGAAACCGCATTTCTCCCTCTTCCCTGGAAAAAAAGGGGAAAATTAATTCCAAATAACTAACTGGAAGCAAACATAAACCAGATATAATAACAAATATATCTTAAGTAAGAAAATGCGTGTGTAATGTGTGACAGAGAAAGGGGAGACAGGAGAGAGAGAGAGAGAGAGAGAGAGAGAGAGAGAAAGGTAGAGCAGATTCTGTGGGGAGCGTTTTGACAGTTGACCCCGACAGTTAAAATCGAGAGAAGAAAACCCGACAGAGGAGTAAAATAGAAGCCTGGACCAATTAGAAAAATATCAGTGATTAGGAGATGAGCTGAGCTGGACTCTGCGAAGAAGAGACCACACAGAACCCACTTCCTTCCACTACTGCTGTTAGTCGTAGCAGTAATGAACTGGAGCAGATAGCAGAATGATAAATACCTTCTTTTGGTCACTAGATCCAATAGACCGAGCATCGTCGTCATCCTCGTCGTCATCGCCGTCACCGCCGTCGTAAGGGCCATTATCGCCGTCGATTCTCCTCTTCTTAAAGGGCTTATTACCGTCTCCGTATTCCGAGGAGGAAGCAGACAGAGCAGCTGCAGCAGCCTCCGCACGAGATTCCGGAGCAGACGCGTGGGCCACGTTTTTCGCATCTGCTCGACTTAGACTCTCAGACGAGTCAACACCACCAAAACCAGCTTTATGAGGGAGCTTCAATACCAACTTCAGTTTCTTCTCTCTCCTCTCGTCCTCGTCGTCATCTTCCTCATCCTCGTCGTCGAAGTCGCCATGGTACGTCAGATTCCGGCGGCGTAGGCTGCGGCGTAGGTCAGTTTCCGAAGGCTGTTCAGACAGCGGATTCCGGCGAAGACCGTCGCATCGGGCGAGATCCGCCTTTGACGGTCGGCCTTTCTTCTTCCTGGCGATCTTACCCATCTTTTCCCACCCGAGCCTCCGATTCCCTCTCTCTCTCTCTCCTCTTTACGCCATTTTTTTTTCTCTTCTTTCGCTTGGCTTTTTTCGAGTCACTTTTGCTCCCAAGCCCGTGCCCGAGCCTATGATTCCAGTACCGAGGCTTAGGTTCGGACCGTTCGAAAGAAGCGAATGATTGTTTCTCCGTGAGAACCGGCGACGGCGTAAATTAGTCGGGAATGACGGCGTTTGAAGCTGCCCGTTGCCCAGGAGTGCTTGCGTGACTGTCCACTAGGCTGCTACCTGTGCTTACGTCATTTTCCACGTTTTTGTGTTTTCACCCATACTTTTTTCTAAATTCTCACGGAACGGAACGGAACGGGGAAATTTTGCAATTAAAAAGCTACTTGCTTTTAAGAATGTAAAGAAGACTCAACGCTGGTAGTAAAATGCTCGTAAACGGAGTCCGGATCTCACAACTGCATATCGGGAACGGGAACGGGAACATCTCGAATTTATCATTGATGGAGTGATATTCCTGATATGCGGCCATACATTGCGATCAGCGTTTTGTAGTAAGCACTAGCAGATCCGAACTCTCGTAAGCGTAAGGGACTTGCCGATTTCGAATTCAATTCGAAGCGTTATGAGCAGAGTGAGTTGTGTTGTGAATTGTGATGGAGAAGTTAGAGGCGAAGAGTGAAGGAAGGAAGCAGATTAATTGCCAACTCGCTCCGACACCAAGTATAGCATGTGCGCGCACGCGCCTGACATATGTATGTGTATCTGAAAGAGTTCGGCTTCAATTAGGGCAAAGTTCATTCTAACCATTTTTATTGTCTTGTGTTGAAAATATCTGTATTTTATTTTATGGAGAAATATTTCCAATAAAAGTGTTAGATCGGTGTGGGCACAAGTTTGCCCTGATGGAAGCCGATCTCGAATATTTGAACGAATAATAATAAAATAACCATGAATATGATGATTCCACTATCTACTTTCTACTTTTCTACTTTCTAGGGATACGTGTCGTGGTCCTTCTCCTTCAATGTTCAATTCAATCTGAATGAAGGCCATTAAATGCAAGTAGAAAAAGTCGTAGTCAGCTTCTGTCGTGTCCTTCAAAGCCGACTTTATGGGTGGGATGGCGTTGGGAAAACGAGTCCAGTGCCCAGTGTCTGGTCTGGTGTGTGACACTGCTTCAAAAACTAATAACAACTGTTGGATGGGGGGGCCTTTAAATTCTTTAATCTTTTTATATTCAGTCTCTACAGTCAGGATCCTATGTATAATAATACAATATAAGCTTCCCATGTAAATACAATGCAATAGTATTCACTGCTACAACACAAGTAGCTCCTCCAGTGCCACCAACTTATTAATTAAGGATAAGCTCGGAGTTTGAGACTTGAGAGTTGTACTGTCGTCAAAAGTCTCCTGAAGCCATGTAGTGGATCGATCATACAGAGGTGAGATATAAATTCTGATGGCCCCATCACTAGCCACTAGGTGAGTGGGTACTACTTACTTGCATGGGGGAGCCACTATACATTGTTGTCCAATTAGGGCACCCCTCCAGGCTCCAGTATGAAATGGTTTTGTTCATATATACTCAAAAACAAGTAAATCATCAGGCCAGTTAGAACGGGATGATGCTTTACAAAATCTTGTCTTGTGTTAGTTTCTTCTAATTTCTATATCCGCATTGCTTCTGTTGTTATGCAATACTCTTTTCCAGAGAAGCTAAATCCTTTGCTAGTTTTAGTATTCCTCAAACTTTTTTTATACCAAACAGTGTCGTACCTGTCATTTATTATATCTACAAGTCTCCCCTTCCCCTTATTATATATGTTGTTACACATTACAGGGGATCAAAGCAGGATGCATATTAGACGGACAGCCTGAAGTTTTAAAGCTTATATTATCTTAAAGCAAGTATTTATCTTTTCCTGCTTTAATCTAATTGTATAGAGCTCCCATGGTTAGACAATAGTTGGGAAAAAGAAAATGAATGAAATAGTAGATAGAGTTTTAAGAAGAAATGACGAATACAAGGCTTTAATGAACACTTTGTTGCTACTAGCTGTGTTGTGTTAGACAATAAAACCTATTCAGATACTCACTTACCAGCTTTAAGCCTAAGTTTTAGAAACCCATCAGGAACTGAAATCACTTTTGGCCACCACTTCTTGACTGTCCGATCTGAATAAATGGATCATTGCAATATAAAAAGTCAAAAATAATAAAGTCAAAATCATTGTCCAAATGGAATAAATCAATGATTCAATCTGCTGGATCAGTGAATAATAAAACAAGTCAACAAATTTTGAAGAAACAATAAGAAATGCCAAACGCAGTCTTCTAGAACGCACAAAAATATCTTTTCTTTTCCCTTGTAATGACTTCTGATGACAAGACACGTATCTAATTCTTTGGACTTTTTTGCACTGAATTAAACCTTTTTTATGTTATGAATTACGACGACTGCCAGTGCCAGTGGGCCCCTTGATTTCTTTATATATTTTATTGGAAGGTTTACTGGCCATTCTATCGCACTTTTCACCAAGTTAAGTCAAAAATCAAAATGAATTGTCACTTTAAAGAATTTTATGATTTATTTTCTTCAGAAATTTTTATTTGCTGGTAACGTATTATTTTCATATGTGTTACAGTACCTTATTAATTGCGATAGATAATGACCCTAGAGTGCTCTAGTACCAGAATCAGTCATGAACTACCTTTGTTTAATATGTGATAGAGATGTAAATCTCTATACGTACGGGGCCTACGGGCACCTGATTTGATTGGAAGTTTGTTTTTTTTTTTTTTTTTTGTATAGCTTGAGTTTCCTGCGACCCCAAAGGACATGCGAATACACAAAATCAGTCCAAGTGATGCATTGGATTTACGGAAATGTAGGACATGTTTAATGTAGATTTCTGAATTTCCTTACAAATTTATAAATATTGAAAAGATTAAAAACTCACATTCTATGCAATGAATTGTACTTTGCGTTTATCAATTTTAACCCTAGGCCAAATGGTAATTTTCCTTTAAATTAGATTCGCATCCGCCCCCCACAAGTTTGCCCCCCAAAAACATCCCACGGGCTTATAGGCAAAGTGTCAAAGATGAGGTTAATCAGATCAAATGAGCCTGCAAGTCAATGAATAAGTGTCAAATATGACTGCATATAAAAACACAAATATGAGAACTGAGAATAAACAGATATGAGAACGGAACTTACTTCCACTAAATAAATATGCCGGAACGATCGTTGGCGTGGACCGACGGAACTCGAAGGGAGCAAGCTCCGGCGGGTTTCAGTTCTGAAAACAGAAGGTCGAAGGTTCAGGTGAGGATGAAATTCGAGAGAGAGAGGAGTGAGAGTCTGAGAGGGGATGACCTTTTGGGCGAAGTGGGTTAGCACCGCACGAGAGAATCTAATTCGCGTGTGGGAGGACACGCGGTGCGCTGTGAGTCCGTGGGATGTTTTTTGGGGGACAAACCAGTGGGGAGCGGACGCGAACCCCTTGAATTTATATTATAAATGCAAAATACCGGTACGGTGGCATTTTATTGAGGGGAAAATCTATGATATGGAAAAAAAGCATATCGGACATTCAACTTTTTGTTTGGGTGAATACAGGTTATCCCAGGTAATTAGTTTTAAAAACAACTATTTAAATCACATTTCAAAAAAAATGTCACCCTCCCCCTTTTCTCTTTATCTCCAAATTCCAACCCCGTGCCCTGCGTTATGCCAACCTTATTATCAAGAAGCAATCGTATCCCGCTACAGAGAGAGACAACCTTTATTGCCGATGGAAAATGGCTTCCCCAACTGCAATCGAGTCCATTGTCGTCTTCAAGAGACCAGACAACCTTCGTTGGCGAAAGGTAATAATTAATTAATTAAGTTCTTTTAAGTACTTATTATTCTATTAACCACCTGCAGCCACATCTATAGACTGTGTAGTCTATAGGAGATGAGAGGTGTATTTTTCTGCATTTTGGTTATTAACCAGATTTCTTTTTTCCTGTGCAGTCACCAAGGAGGGATTGTTGTAGGATTCTGCCACCGAAGAAGAGTTCCACAATGCACATATCCGTGGTTCCACGCGCTGAAATAAAGGTCATCTTCCCTAGATGACCCAATGGGATAAACCTCTTGTGGTTGTGGCTTATGTTAATTTGTATATGGAAGATGGATGGTAAGTTAATTTAGTGGGTGTTTGTTTGGGCTTAAATAACTAAGGAGGATGTTCCGTGTTCGTTGATATGTGATTTTGTTTTTCGAAACAAAACAATTAATCATGATATTGTCCATTGATCGCTAAGACATTGACCAAAAAACAATGTATAATTTCATATACCCAAATAAAAGCTAGGGAAAATTCTTGATCAGTACCTTGTACTTTGGTTCGAGTGATAATTTGGTCTCTAAGCTTTAAAATGCGACAATTCAATACTTAAAATTTTAAAATGTGACAACCTAGTACCCGAATTTTTAAAATGTGACAACCTAGTACCCGTTAAATGACATTTGAAAAGTCAAAAATACCCTTTGAATGCCATCTAATTCTCTTTACCAACCATCCAAACATTGACAATAAAATGAACAGTCCCAAATTCTAGATTATTTTAAACAGTCACCAACTTTTTTGAATAGAAAATGTTAGGATTTGGGACTGTTCAGTTTTTTATCAATATTTAGATGGTTGATAAAGAAAATTAGATATCATTCAAAGGGCATTTTTGACTTTTCAAATATCACTTAATGACTAATTAACGGCAGATACTAGATTATCACATTTTAAAAATTTGAATACTAGATTGTTGCATTTTAAAATTCAGGGACTAAATTGTCACTCAAACCAAATTACAAAGTACTGATCGGGATTTTTTCCTAAAAACTAGATATGATTTGATTCTTTGTGAATTGAGGAATGAGGACTCCGTGATAGTCATTGCTATAATTGGGGTCGCTTGTCGCTACGTACATGGGTTTGGACAAGCCATCCTTGACCAGGATGCTTGAACCAGTTAACCCAGTCCTGTGGAGTGTGGGATATCCAATTGTTTTGATTAGGTCAGTGAACTGCCCGCCCGGTTGAACTTGAACCCTTCAACCTGTCTTTCCCTCGGCTTTTAATTTGGGTTGACAAATGGTGGCAAACATGTATAAGCCCAAGCCAACGGACAAGTGGTTTAGTTGTATGTTAGAGAATGCACTCTCACAAAGGACCCAAACAAATTAACAATTCCTCAGCCCACTCACTCAACCCCATATAACTATCAACTAGGGGTGTCACTCAATAGATCGGTTTTGGGTTGGACTCATTCAAATCAAAATTAATTTGGACGGGCCAATACAACATTCTGAATTTGGACGGACGGGATGGACCATTAATTGGAATGGATTTGGTCTGTCCATAATAAATTTATATTGGAATCAGCCAATAATATCTGATAAAAGATAAGAACATAGGTGTTAATGGACAGCTCAGATTTCCTGCGGGCCTGCACTGACTGAAGCCGATCTCCCTACGTATAACTACACAACAATTATGTGAATTACATCTTCTCGCTTGCACGACGACCCTCTGAAGACTGAAGAAGGAAGGTACGTAGTGATTGATGGCTTACCCCTAGTCCTTGGCAGGACAGCTGAAGCTGAAATTGTCCTTTGATTCTGTAGCAGTTTTGTAATTTTGAGGTAAGAAATTGGAAGAATCCATTGGGTTCCACGGTCATACGCTATTTGTGTCGGTTTACGGGGGCTACAGTCTCCGCACCTGAGAGGATGCTGCATGCTATCAAGCATCAATTAGGCATATTCATTTTTCAAAAAAAAAAAAAAAGTTAGGCTTATTCACGGTTAGGTTAATTGAATCATGAGTTATTTTTTAAAATCTATTTTATATTATCGATTTTTGCATTTCC